AGCGATTCGATATATTGTTTACTCTGAGTCCGTGAAGTAGAAGTGAGTGTTTATTTTCCTCAGGAAGAGATCCAAAGCGTCGTTGTGTACATCGTGGCCCAAATCATTGGGTCCTTGCTAGCTGCGCTGGCGTTCCGCGCTGTTCGTTTTTCGAGAAAAGCTGAGCCTACCAGCGAGGTGCAAGAGGAGGTCAACGAGTGCGGAGAGGGCTTGAGCCACCTGAGCATCCGTTAGTGTGATGTATCGACATATTGTGTCCCTCCCATTGACGGCTAGGATTCTTCTCGAGTAGGATTCATTGCTCGTCTCAATTTCTTTCGGAGTATTATTATCTCCAACCTTTTCAGCGCATATCGATGATCAGGGCAGTTAAGGAGGTTCGTTCGTGGGCTATCCACTCTAGCCCGTGCAAGACCCTACTCCCTATCAGATAGAGTATATCGCTCTTCAGTCAGTCTACCCTATCATTACATGAATCTGATTACTTGTAGCTGGCGCACGTGCAGTGGGCGTGCGCGGACAGCTAACGTTCGTGCATCGTGTGCTGCAATTGTGACGGCACGTTATGGTGACGTGACGCGGCGAGGGGAGCGGGGGGGCGTCTCCCCGGTTGTGGGTTCCAGTCTCTCCTCTTCTCACGAGACTATTTCATAAGCCTTATCATGTCTGAGTTCGATACGTCAATCAGGGATAGCACGATAGACGAGGATGCCTCTAACATTACTCCACTACTCAAGTTAGAGCTTCACTGAGACCTTGACGACGATGAGTTCAGTCCGCGGCGGCATAAGACTAACACGATGCACTATTGAGCGTTGTCTACGTTGATAATATCAACTTGATATCAAAGTGAAGTTCGACTTCGCACTTGCGCTAACTGGTCGCCAATCCATGATTGACGCTCTGGCCTCCTCGTTTCGCTGTTTCCTGCAATCTGATATCTCCTGCCAGGTTGTAGAATCTTGGTAGCTATAAGTCTGAGTCTGATGGAGAATGAATCGAGTAAGGCCATCGTTAGATGGCTGGCAACCATCTATAAGACGTGCGGGAAGCATCAGTGGGGGTTTACACGTATAGAGGTGTTTCCTCATGACGTTAGCTGAGTGGAATTTACTCGGTAGATCAACAGATTGTGAGATCGCAAAGCCAGGATGGCAGCCAAAGCATCTCCAGATGAGAAATTGAAGGCATTCATAGACTTCGCGTACGAAGCCCATGATGGGGTTTCTTGTGAATCCTACTGAAGAGTTGAAATGAATCGTGGTTTTAGAGCCACGTGATCTTAATGTCTCTGAAACTTGTGAGAAAGAATGTGAACTAGGCTAGTCTTTTCAAAGGCCTTCTCAACTCTAAGTTGTAAAGTCGTGGATGGGGCAGTTATGGCACCTACATACACCCCTCCACACACATTCTTAGCATATCCGGTTTTTCGACTCGTGCACAGCCACCACAACGAGTGTCCAGCCAAAACTGAGTAGGACAGCTGATGAGCACGAAAGCGCGCCGAAATAAGGTGTAAAATCCGCCATGCAGGGAGCCGTCGGAGGTCACGACGCTCTCGCAGGCTCGTGCCTCCAAAAATGAGAGTGAAACATGGAGAGATACCATTATGAACGATCCTTTTTCTGTTGATGTATAGCATTAGATCAGGAGCGGAGTTATGGATATACTCCCCCAGTAAAAGTTGGTATTTTGAGGCGCAATTTCAACACGTGTATGCCAATAATATGTGGAGAAAACTTTTTACCGGTCTTCGACTACTCACTAGCTACGAAGAGCTAGGTCCTGAAACTTGGAGGTCATATCAGGTAAAGCATAGGTACATACCTCCCTGACCCGCAAGATGATACTCGTTGTGGTGGCTGT